CGAATTCTGCTGAAGACAACCCAGTCAGTTCCAAGGTGGATTCGCTCCGGATGCGGCCATTGAATGGGTTCAAGGCTTGGAAAGAATATTCAAGGCCATGAGCTGTTCTGATACTCAGAGAGTGGCCTATGCTACCTACATGTTGGTGAAGGAGGTAGAGAATTGGTGGAAGATGACCTGGAGACAAATGGAGATCGAGGGGCAAATCATTACGTGGGAAGCCTTCAAGAGTAAATTCCTCCAAAAGTACTTTCCTGCAGACCTGAAGAGGGAGAAGGAGAGGGAATTTCTGCAACTAGAACAGGGAAACATGACTGTGGGGGAATATTCGGCCAAATTTGAAGAGTTAATCCGGTATTGCCCCTATGCTTTACTAGAGCTGGACGGGAGGTCCAAGTGTGTGAAGTTTGAGATAGGGTTGAGGCCCGAGCTCCGAGTGACATTTGGTCACGAAGAAATTTCTATTTTTCCTACACTAGTGAACAAGTGTATGATGTATGAGAATAATGTGCGGAGGAGGGACATTGCTGCGAAGAAAGATAACCCTCCAAAACACTATGGCCCTCAACGGAACTTCTCCCACGACAAAGGAAAAGGGAAGATGTTTCAAGAGGAACGGAAGCCTTACTCTCCTCCGACGGGTAGTCGAGGGAATATTTCACCTGGGCTGAAGACTCATAGTAACGCCGGAGGGTCACGGTTGAACTCTCCACCCGGATGCGGCAAGTGTGGCCGAGCACATATGGGTGACTCATGCCCCGAAACGATGCTTACCTGTTTCTACTGCAAGGAGGTTGGGCACACCAAAAGATATTGTCCTAAGCTAACACAGAGTGTAAATGATGTAAGAGCTGATCGACCTCGGGCTACGGGCAGAGTATTCACCATGAGTGGTGCAGAGTATTCACACTCCTTTGTATCTAATGACTGCGTGGATAGACTGAAATTACAAACTGAGTCGTTGCCTTTCCACTTAGTCGACAATTGTGTCTCGATGTCTAGTAGTAGTAAATGGTAGGACTTTTACCGTTGATTTGATCTGCTTACCACTAACCCAGTTGGATCTAATTTTGGGGATGAACTGATTGTCGACTAATCATGTGATGTTAAATTGTGCGGATAAGACCGTGGTATTCGGGAACCTTGATGAGGTTTCTGATGAAGGTAATGACATGAAGCCATTGTCGGCAAAAGAAGTCAAGACTTTTTGTAAAGAGGGAGGGGCCGTGTTTATGATGTTGGCATCTCTGGAGGGTAGTGAAAAACCCAAGGTTGAGGACATTCCGATAGTCCGTGAATTTCCTGAAGTATTTCCTGGCGAAATTCCGGAATTACCTCCAGTAAGAGAAGTCGAATTCTCTATTGATTTGGTACCGGGAACGGGACCCATCTCTATCGCTCCTTATAGGATGGCACCGTTAGAATTGGCAGAGTTGAAAAAGCAGGTTGAGGATTTGTTGGCAAAGAAGTTCATTCGTCCTAGCGTCTCACCTTGGGGTGCGCCTGTTTTGTTGGTTAAGAAAAAGGATGGTAGTATGCAGTTGTGTACCGACTACCGGCAGTTGAATAAGGTTACTATTAAGAACAAATATATGTTGCCTCGGATCGATGACTTGATGGATCAGTTGAGAGGAGCGGTGGTGTTCTCAAAAATTGATCTTCGGTCGGGCTATCACCAACTTCGTGTGAAGTCGGAAGATATTCCTAAGACGGCGTTTAGGACCAGGTACGTACATTTTGAATATTTGGTCATGCCTTTTCGGGTAACGAATGCTCCAACAATATTTACCGACTACATGAATCGGATTTTTCATTCGTATTTAGATACTTTCGTAGTGGTATTCATTGATGACATTTTGATTTACTCCAAAAGCCGAGAGGAACATGTTGAGCACCTGCGGATTGTGCTAGAACTTCTTAGCAAGAATCGGTTGTATGCGAAGCTGTCAAAATGCGACTTCTAGTTGGAGTCAGTAAATTTTCTTGGACATGTGATATCCAAGGAAGGAGTGGCGGTAGACCCTTCAAAGGTTGAAGCGGTTATGGAATGGGCAGTGCCCAAGTCAGTCACTGAGATCAGGAGCTTTCTGGGTTTGGTTGGGTATTATCGAAAATTCATAGAAGGGTTTTCGAAGTTGGCTCTACCTTTGACGAAACTCACTAGGAAAGGGGAACCATATGTGTGGACAGTTCGATGTGAAGAAAGTTTCTAAGAGTTAAAACGCAGGTTGACTACGGCGCCAATTTTGGTCATTCCTTGTACTGATCGGGATTTCAGCGTTTATTGCGATGCATCCAAGCAAGGTTTGGGTTGTGTGTTGATGCAAGAAGGGAAGTTTGTGGCATATGCTTCTCGACAGTCGAGGACGCACGAACAGAACTATCCTACCCACGTTCTTGAGTTGGCCGCAATGGTTTTTGCCTTAAAAATCTGGAGACACCATCTTTATGGCGTGAGATTTGAAGTGTACAGCAACCACAAGAGTTTGAAGTACCTATTTGATCAAAAGGAATTGAACATGAGGTAGAGGAGATGGATGGAATTCCTTAAGGATTACGATTTTGGGTTGCAGTACCACCCTGGAAAGGCCAATGTAGTGGCGGATGCACTGAGTCGAAAATCGTTGCACATGTCGGCTTTGATGATTAGGGAGGAGAAACTGATTGAAGAGTTCAGAGATATGAACTAGGAGGTTCAGGTAAGGCCTCATAGTATGATTTTGGGAATGCTTAAAGTCACAAATGAATTGTTTGAGCAAATCTGGACAATGCAGAGTGAGGATAGTGAGCTGATGGATAAACGGGATCTGATGCTGTGTGGTAAAGATACCAATTTCACATCGGACATTAGTGGAATGTTGCATTACAAATGGAGAGTGTGTGTACCTCGTAATGATAAATTACGGAGGGAGATTTTAGAGGAGTCCCATAAGAGTAAAATGAGTTTTCATCCGGGGACCACGAAAATGTATCAAAATTTGAAAACACTGTTTTGGTGGTCTGGGTTGAAAAGAGATGTGACTCTGTATGTCTCGAGTTGTTTGGTATGTCAGAAGGCCAAGATTGAACATCAACGACCAGCTGAAGAATTACAATCCCTAGAAATTCCCGTTTGGAAGTGGGATAGTATCTCCATGGATTTTGTATCTGGTTTTCCAAAGACTCAGAGAGGTTATGATTCGATATGGGTGATCGTGGATCGGTTAACTAAATCCGCTCACTTTCTGCCCTTGAACATGAGATACTCGTTGGAGAGATTGGCAGAACTGTATATCCGAGAAATTGTTCGCATGCATGGAATACCGTCAAGCATTATGTCGGATAGGGATCCCCGTTTCACTTCAAACTTTTGGACTAGTTTGCAAATCGCTCTGGGAACTAAGTTGAAGCTGAGTTCAGCTTACCATCCACAAACGGATGGTCAATCAGAAAGGACAATACAGTCGTTGGAGGACCTTTTGAGAGCCTGTGTCTTAGAACAACCAGAGAGTTGGGATGACATGTTGCCGTTGATCGAATTTACGTACAACAATAGCTTCCATTCGAGTATTGGGATGGCACCTTATGAGGCATTGTATGGTAGGAAGTTCCGAACTCCAGTGAGTTGGTTCGAAACTGGGGAGCACTTGATATTAGGGCCTGAATTGGTTCAGGAGACGACGGATAAGATCAAGAAAATATGGGAGAATATGAGGGCGCCCAGAGTCGGCAGAAAAGCTACTATTACAAGAGGCGAAAACCTCTTGAATTCAAGGAAGGGGATCATGTCTTCATGAGAGTAGTCCCGACTACCGGAATTGGTAGAGTGTTGAAATCTCGTAAGCTGACTCCACGATTTATTGGGCCTTATCAAATACTGAAGAGGATTGGGCCAGTGGCGTATCGAGTTGCCTTACCACCGTTGTTGTCGAATCTCCACAATGTGTTTCATGTATCTCAGTTGAGAAAATATGTTGGAGATCCATCTCATGTGGTTGAGTCGGACCATATAGAGTTGAAGGATAACCTGACTTTTGCGACGTTGCCTGTGAGAATCATGGATACCAGCATCAAGAGGTTGAGAGGCAAAGAGATTCCTTTGGTAAAGGTGCTGTGGAGTCAAGTGGACGAAAGAGACACTACTTGGGAAGTTGAGCAAGAGATGCGGGAGGATTACCCTCATTTGTTTGCATCGAGGTATGTTTAATTTTCGAGGACGAAAATTCTTATAAGAGAGGGATGATTGTAACACCCCAAATTTGAAGTCTTGAAAATCATAGTATTAGCCCTCAGACTCTCGCTTGAGCGAGAGATTCTCGCTTGAGCGAGAGAGGTTCATTTGGGAGGGTGAAATCCTAGGCTATACTAGAGGATTCTCGCCTGAGCGAGAGTTGTCTCGCCTGGGCGAGAAATGTCATTTTGGGGCTGTTGCCACTGTGAGATTCTCGCTTGAGCGAGAATCCCTCGCTTGAGCGAGAGGGTCAGATTTGAGTTTTTAAAATGGGCGGGATTTTCTCGCTTGAGCGAGAATCCCTCGCTTAAGCGAGAACCCGATGAGACAACATTTAATGAGAAACCCCTAAACACAATCTAGGGTTTAGAAAAGAAGAAGAGTGAGAGAAGAGAGCTTTTCAAGGGCAAAAAGCTTGGATACTCATCTAAGAGCTTGAGAAGAGGTAAAACTCTAGATTCTAACTCTCTTTTTCTCTCTTAAACTCACTTTGGGTATGTTGGATCTCTTCTCAAAAATGAAGAAAAACCATGGAAACTCATCCTTTTGAGTGGTGGTTCATTTTATGTCATTATTACCTTGTAAACTCTTGGTTTAGAGATAGTATCTAAAGAATGAAAAGGGATGTGGGTCGATTCATGAAAACCCCAAAAACCCTAAAAGTGAAAACGTGGTAAAAGGAGAGAATGAGTAAAATGCTAGAGGTAGAAGATGAGTTTACCTCCAAATATTGGAATATGAGATGTTATGCATGTTTTAGATGGTTGAATATTTATGATGAATATTTTGTATGACTAAATGGTGCAATATAAGTTGTTTATGTGATATTTGGAATAAATGACTAACATTGTGTTATGTGGTGGAATGAGGAAAGATCCTAAGGTTGGAGGCGGTGTCGGTGGAACTTGAGAAGTTGCCAAGAACCAAACCCAACACTCACCGAGGTAAGGATAAGTCTTTAATTGTACATTTGAACTCGAAAATGTGTATTATCTGATTATGCAAAGATTGAGTTGTAAAGTACGCATTTAATATGAACATATATGGGTGTGTTTATATTAAAGTAGGCGTAAGTTTACGGAAATACAAGTATGTGTACTTCTGGTTATGTGGTTGATTGAGTTGTGAATCACGTAATTAGTATAAACATATATGAGTGTGTTTATACTAATGTGAGCGTGGATTTACCGGAAATGTTTTATGGTGAAATTATGAAAGCGAAATGTATTTTTAGCCGACCAAGAATGGTTAGTGACTCTGACTTGGGTATATAAGCAAAACTCTTGCTTGAGTATATAAGCAACACTCTGGCTTGAGTATATAAGCAACACTCTGGCTTGAGTATATAAGCGAAACTCTGACTTGAATATATAAGCGAAACTCTGGCTTGAGTATATAAGCAAAACTCTGGCTTGAGTATATAAGCAGAATTCTGGCTTGAGTATATAAGCACGTTTTGTTTTAAGAAAAATGAGAATCTGCTTTTAGCTAACCCTAAGGGGTATAGTGACTTTGGCTCAAGTTATGCAGCAAAACAAAAAAAATGAATTTCAAAGATGGTTACTGACCCTTTTATTTATGTGGATTATCTTAAATGATGTTTATCGAATTAATGACTTACTCCTTTGCGTGTTCTGTGTTTTGTCATTGATGATCCCATTGCAGTTAAACTGGTCATATGAGGGAGACTCATTTTTGGGAGAGTTAGGAGCGCTATATTTTGGATTCATTTATTTGCACTATTTTTGTACATGAGTGCATATTTGTTGGTTCATATTATGTAACTAAGAACCTATACTAACTTACATGGCGTGTAACTCTGGATATGTATAGCTATGGGAAATTTTGGAAATCCATAGCTAATTATATGCGGTCGTTACATAGTTTAATTAATGCGAATTATGTTTTTCTGTCGAATGATTTTGTATGTTATATTGAAATTGATTGCGAAGAGGGAAATAAGATTTGAATGTAAAGATATTAAATTGGTGATGTGAGTTAGGAGAAAATGCATGTAATTGGACTAAATCGAGAAAAAAATTTCAAGGGCATAATTTCGGTCCTTACAGAATCCAAGTCAATTCCAAGGTGGATTCGCTCCTGATGTGGCTAATGAGTGGGTCCAGGACTTGGAAGTGACACCCAAAAGGTGACTTATGCCACCTACATGTTGGTCAAGGAAGCCAAAAATTGGTGGGAGTACACCAGAAGACAGATGGAGGTGGATGGACAAGCTGTCACTTGGGAGTCATTCAAGGCAAGATTCCTTCAGAAATACTTTCCTACCGATTTGAAGAGGAAGAAGTAAATGGAGTTCCTATGGTTAGAACAAGAGAACATGACCGTTGGCGAGTATGCTGCTAAGTTTGAGGAGTTAGCCAAGTATTGCCCATACTACGTGTTGGACGCCGATGATAGGACAAAATCTGCAAAGTTCGAAGTGGGCCTAAAACCAGAGCTGAAGATGATGTATGGTCATCAAGAGATTACCGACTTCCCTATCCTAGTCAACAAGCGTAGGATGTATGAGGATGATATGCATGCCCGTGATATGGCAGTGAGCAAGGCAAACCCTCCGAGAAATTTCGGACCCGAAAGGAACCATGTATAGAGCATAAGTAAGGTGAGGGTGACTTATGATAACCGAAAACCTTATGCTCTACCCACTAGACACCGTGGTATGGCTCTCAAGGGTCGAAAACTCCTACTGTTGTGGGAGAACCACAACAAAACTCTCTCCCTATGTGCAACAATGTGGTCGGAGACATATTGGAAATATCTGCCCGGATCAGGGAATGATTGCTTCCACTATAACGATTCGGGACATATGAAGAGATTCTTCCCGAAGCTGAATGGAAGTATGAATGCCACGAGGGGTGGGAGGCCCAAGACAACTGGCAGGGTATTTACCATGAATGACGTAGAGGCATCGGATGTTGATGGTATGATTCAAGGTAACTGTATGGTAAAAGGTATTCCCCTTGTTGTGTTGTTTGATTCGGGAGCAACACACTCTTTTGTGTATGTGGAATGTGTAAAACGACTGAGTTTACAAACTGAGTCGTTGCCCTTCGACTTAGTCGTGTCCACCCCTACTAGTGCACCTATGGTGGTATCATCGTTAGTTTCTTAGTGTCCGGTAGTGGTAAACAGTAAAATATTTACCATTGACTTAATATGCTTCCCGCTGTTCCAATGAGACATAATTATAGGGATGGACTGGTTATCAGAAAATCATATGTTGCTGAACTGTTTTGATAAGACATTAATATTTGGGGATCTGAGTGAAACTTCTGATCTGTCTAGATATCTGAAACCGATGTCGGCTAAGGGAGTTGAGACTTACCTTAAGAAAGTGGTGTTGGTGTATATGTTGTTAACTTCTTTGGAAGGAGTAGAGAAACCAAAAATTGAGGATCTCCCTGTAGTGTGTGAATATTCAGAACTATTTCGTGGTGATATTCCGGATTCGCCTCCTGTGTGAGAAGTAGAATTCTCCGTTTATCTAGTACCAGGAACGAGACCTATTTCTATAGCTCCTTATAGAATGGCGCCATTGGAGTTGGCTGAGTTGAAGAAACAGATTGAGGATTGGTTGGCCAAGAAGTTTATTCGTCCTAGTGTTTCACCGTGGGGTGCACCGATATTGTTGGTGAAGAAGAGGGATGGTAGTATGAGACTGTGTACCGATTACAGGCAGCTGAACAAAGTCACGATTAAGAACAAGTACCCGTTTCCTAGGATTGATGATTTGATGGATCAATTAAGGGGAGTAGTGATATTTTCAAAAATCGATCTCAAATCAGGTTACACGAATTTAGAGTAAAGACAAAAGACATTCCTAAGACTGCCTTCAGAATGAGATATGGACATTTCGAGTACTTGGTAATGCCCTTTGGTGTGATGAATGCTCGACAATATTTACGGACTACATGAACAAGATTTTCATCCGTATCTAGACTATTTTGTGGTAGTGTTTATTGACGACATCTTAGTGTATTCTAAGTGTCGGGAGGAACATATGAGACATCTGAGAATTGTTTTGGGAGTTCTTAAGGATAACCATCTCTATGCGAAATTGTCGAAGTGCAATTTTTTGCTTGAGTCTGTGAATTTTCTTGGACATGTAATATCCAGAGAAGGAGTGACAGTGGACCCTTCTAAGGTTGAGGCGGTGACGGAATGAGCATTACCGAAGTCGGTTACTGAGATTAGGAGTTTCCTTGGGTTGGCTAGGTATTGTAAGAAGTTCATTAAATGATTCTCGAAGTTAACTTTACCGTTAACTAAACTGACACGAAAAGGGGAACCATATGTTTGGACAACTCGTTGTGAGGAAAGTTTTCAAGAACTAAAACGAATGTTGACTTTGGCACCCGTGCTGATTCTTCCCTGTACGGGTCGTGATTTTAATGTGTATTGCGATGCTTCCAAGCAAGGATTGGGTTGTGTGTTGATGCAGGATGGGATGGTTATTGCTTATGCTTTGAGACAGTTAAGACCGCTTTGAGACAATTAACCGTGGTGGTGTTCGCTTTGAAGATTTGAAGACACCATCTCTATGGTGTAAGATTTGAAGTATTCAGTGATCACACCATCTCTATGGGATGTTAAGGGATTGTTGAGGTGCAAGGGAAGATTATGTTGCCTTATGACTTGGAATAGAGGAGGACTATATTAGAGGAAGCCTATAAGAGTAAAATGACTTTTCACCCTGGAACGATAAAAATGTATCAGGATTTAAAGAAGATGTTCTGGTGGTCTGGAATGAAAAGGGATATGGCTCTGTTTGTATCCAGTTGTTTGGTTTGTCAGAAAGCCAAAATTGAACACGAGAGGCCGGCGGGCGAGCTGTAAGGACCCAAATTCTACCTTTGAAATTTTTTCCTTATTTTATTGTATCAGGATTTAAAGAAGATGTTCATGCATTTTCCTATAACTTACAGTTACAAACTTAATAACCTTATTTTAAATCTCGCTTTCCTCTTCACACTCAATTGATTCAATATCGACATACATATTCGTTTAACAGAAAAACATAATTCATATTAATGCATCTCAGTAACTACCGCATACAACTAGCTATGGGATTCCAAAATACTCATAACTACAAATATCTAGGGTTACAAATATTCATGACTACCAACATGTACAAATATCACGTACATGATTACAAATATTCAGTTCAAAACACAATCAGTTAGATTACCTGCAATGGGATTAACATTGACAATTCACAGAAAACACAAAGGAGTAAATCATTAACTCAATAAGTGACAATATACATTAATCAACATTTTATTAAATATACTTAAAACCATTTCCAACGTTTATACTTTCTTTTTTTGAAAATCATGCTACATAACTTGAGCCAAAGTTTGCTACATTGCTTGAGCCAAAGCGTGCTACATCGCTTGTGCCAAAGCTTGCTACATCGCTTGAGCCAAAGCTTGCTACATCGCTTGAGCCAAAGCTTGCTACATCGCTTGAGCCAAAGCTTCCTACATCGCTTGAGCCAAAACTTGCTACAATACTTGAGCCAAAGTTTGCTACATTAATTGAGCCAAAGTCGTTAACCAATCATGGTCGGCTAAAACGAGTTTTATTTTCATTGATACACCATCAATTTATAAACAGTAAATCCACACAATCCTTATTACAAATATATCCATATATGTTTATAATATTAAGTGGTTCACAACTTGATCATTATCCACAACCAGAAAATCCACAGATTTTCTATCACAATGCACAAGTTAAAGACTTATCCTTACCTTGGCGAGTGTAGGGTTTGGTTCTTGGTAACTTCGCAAGTTCCACTGACACCGCCTCCAACTTTAGGATCTTTCCTCATTCCCACCATGTAACACAATATTAGTCATTTATTCCAAATAACACATAAACAACTCATATTGCATCTTTAACCATACAAGAGATTTAACACATTTCCAATGTTCCTAAACTATTTTCATTATAAGTTTACAACACCTAAAACATACACACTCATCTCATATTTTAACATTGAAAGGCATACTCATCTTCTACATCTAACATTTTACCCATTTCCCTCTTTAACCACATTTTCATTTTAGGGTTTTGGGGTTTTCATGAATCAACCCACAAATCCTTTCCATTATTGAAATACCAACTCTAAACCAAGAGTTTGAGGAAAACAACATAAAACGAACCATAACTCAAAAGGATGAGTTTCCATGGTTTCTCCCATTAAGAAGAGATCCACCATACCCAAAACAAGTTTCATAGGGAAGAAGAGAGTTAGAATCAAGAGTTTTACCTCTTCTCAAGCTCCTTGGTGATTCACAAGGCTTCTTACTCTTGAAAATGCTCCATTCTCTCACTTCTCTCTAGGTTATCCCCAAAAAATGTGTTTGGGGTTCCCTATTTAATGTAAACTCGTCGGGTTCTCGCTCAAGCGAGCCCATTCTCGCTCAGGCGAGAAAATCCCGCCTTTTTAAATTTTTAGATCTGATGCTCTCGCTCAAGCGAGAATCTCACAACCTCGACAGGTTCCAAAATGCCATTTCTCGCCCAGGCGAAACAACTCTCGCTCAGGCGAGACCACTCTCGCTCAGGCGAGACCACTCTCGCTCAGGCGAGACCACTCTCGCTCAAGCGAGACAATTCTCGCTCAGGCTAGAATCATTTAGTATAGCCCATGATTTCACCCTCCCAGGTGAGCCTCTCTCGCCCAGGCGACAACTTTCTCGCTCAAGCGAGAGTCCCAGGACTGATAGTATAATTTTAATGATTTTAAAATCTAGGGTGTCACACGAGCTGCAATTGTTAGAAATTCCCGTTTAGAAATGAGATAGTATCTCATTGGACTTTGTGTCAGGTTTTCCAAACACTCAGAAAGGTTTTGATCCAATATGGGTAGTAGTGGACCGACTAACCAAGTCTGCTCATTTTCTGCCTATTAACATGAGATATTCTTCGGAACGTCTGGCAGAGTTATATATCACAGAGATAGTTCGGTTGCATGAGATTCCTGCAAGTATCATAACTGACAAAGACCCCCATTTCACTTCAAGCTTTTGGACTAGTTTTGAAGTTGCCTTAGGGACTAAGTTAAAGTTGAGTTCTGCTTACCATTCGCAAACGGACGGGGAATCAGAAAGAACTATTCAATGGTTGGAGGATCTTTTGAGGGCTTGTGTGATATAGCAACCCGGAAGTTGGGATAATATGTTACCCCTGATTGAATTCACCTATAACAATTGTTTTCATTCAAGTATTGGAATGACACCTTATGAAGCGTTATATTGTAGGAAATGTAGAACTCCTATAAGTTGGTTTGAGACTAGAGAGAACTTGGTGTTGGGACCCGATGTAGTTCAAGAGACAACTGAGCAAATCAAAAGAATAGGGGAGAGTATGAAGAGAGCTCAGAGTCGACAAAATAGTTATCACGATAAGAGGAGGAAACCCCTTGAGTTTGAAGAAGGGAGTCATGTTTTCATGAGGGTAGTTCCAACTACAGGGATTAGCCGAGTTCTAAAATCCCACAAGCTTACTCCGAGGTTCATCGGGCCATATCAAATTTTGAAGAGGATTGGCCCTTTGGCTTATCATATAGCCTTACCTCTGTTGCTATCAAACCTCCACAATTTCTTTCATGTGTCGCAACTGAGGAAATATATCGGGGACCCATCGCATGTTATAAAACCTGTCTGGATTCAATTGAAGGAAAACTTGACTTTCAGGACTCTACCGGTAAGGATCTTGGATAGGATTGTTAAGAAATTGCGAGGGAAATAAATTTTGTTGGTGAAAGTGCTTTGGAGTCAATTGAACGATGGAGATGCAACTTGGGAGGTGGAACATGATATGATGGATGATTACCCCCACTTGTTTGAATCGAGGTATGTTTAATTTTCGGGGACGAAAATTCTTATTAGAGGGGGACGATTGTAACACCTCAAATTTATCATTTCAAAGTGTTGAGAAATTTGAAATTATGAGGGACATACTAGGTGTTTCTCGCTTGAGAGAGAGGGTCTCGCCCAAGCGAGAGGCTTAGAGTTTCTCTGTAACACCTCAAATTTCGTTTTCGGAGTGATTGGAAAACTTAGGGTGTTGAGGTGTATGCTTGACCATTCTCTCTTGGACAAGAGGGTCTCGCCTAAGCGAGAGACTAAATGTTTTAAGTTTGAGAAGTATGGGAACCTCGCCCAAGCGAAGAATTGGTCGTTTGAGGGAAAGTGAAATCTGAAAAAGTTGTCAAATTCTAGCTTGAGCTAGAATTTTCACCCAGGCTAGAGAGGGGCCTTAGCATACTGCTCGATTCTCGCCCGAGTGAGAATTTCGCGCCCGGGCGAGAGCATTCCAGTGTGAAACTTGAAAAAGTCACGAAATTCTCGCCCAAGCGAGCCGTTGTCGCCCGGGCGAGAGCGTCAGAGCTATAAAAGTGAAAAAGGGATCTAGAAACCCTAATCTTCATTTTCTTTCTCCCCTTTTCTCTCCCAACGGTGGCTCCACCCAAATGGACCATTTTCCCCTCCACTAAGCCTCAAAACTCATCAAAACCTTCCTCTTGCTTCATGGTGACACATTTGGAAAAGCTTGGAGGTGAAAAAGCAACAATGGAGGTTGGAGGAGATGAAGGGAGATGTGGCTCTTTTGCGGAGCAACGGAGCTTACACAACCTAAGGTGAGGGAGAAGACCATTGTGGTCTTAGAGTATTTCATTAGAGTCATCTTCTCCGATTTCCCTCAAGAATCGGAGCACGTTAACAGATAGAAATTCATTTGTGTGTTTGTCGTCCATGTGAGAGTCTTTATTTTACATGAGGTTGTATTAGGCATAAAAGTGGAGATATATGTGTGGGAAAACCGTTTATTTAATTGAAACGCCACATGCTCATTTATGGTAATACACCGTCATGAAAGATGGTTCTAACGTTAATGTGTTATATGATGAAGAATATGTTGTGTGTAGTTTGTTTATGATAATGGTGTGTTATGGATCTTGATTTGTTATGAACATACTTGAGTATGTTTATAACAAGGATTGTGAGGTGTTGTTTAATGGCAAAAAGTAGAAATGGTTATGTTGTGTGATAATGATTATGTGTGAGTTGTTTATTATTATAAACATATATGGGTCTGTTTGTAACAATGATTATGTGATGCAGTGTTGATTTGTTAAGAGCGGAGATGAGTATGTTTATGAAAATGACTAAGTTGAGAGTTGCTTTAGTCGTTACAAGCATATATGGGTATCTTTGTAGGGATGAGTAGTGGATTTACTGTTTATGTATTGGTGGAGTGCCAATGGAAATAAAACTTGGAATAATGAAATGAATCATAAATCACTTTGTAGTTATAAGCATATATGGATATGTTTGTAATGATATCGGGTGCATTTACTATTTATGTGTTGTTGGAGTGTCAATGGAAATAAAACTCGGAATAATGAAATGAATTGTAAATACTTTGTAGTTATAAGCATATATGGATATGTTTGTAATGATGTCGGGAGCATTTACTGTTTATGTATTGGTGGAGTGCCAATGGAAATAAATCTCGGAATAATGAAATGAATTGTAAATCACTTTGTAGTTATAAGCATATATGGATATGTTTGTAATGATGTCGGGTGCATTTACTGTTTTTGTATTGGTGGAGTGCCAATGGAAATAAAACTCGGAAAATGTATTGGTGGAGTGCCAATGGAAATAAAACTCGTTTTTAGCCGACCATGATTGGTTAGCGACTTTGACTCAAGTAATGTAGCAAACTTTGGCTCAAGTAATGTAGCAAGCTTTGACTCAAGCAATGTAGCAACTTTGGCTCAAGTAATGTAGCAAACTTTGGCTCAAGTAATGTAGTAAGCTTTGACTCTAGCAATATAGCAAACTTTGGCTCAAGTTATGTTGCAAAACTTTAATGAAAAGAAAACCTATTTTTGTTGAACCTAGAGTGGTGTAACGACTTTGGCTCAAGTTATGTAGCAAGCTTTGGCTCAATCAATGTAGCAAGCTTTGACTCAAGCAATGTAGCAAACTTTGACTCAAGTTATGTAGCAAGTTTTGGCTCAAGCAATGTAGCAAACTTTGGCTCAAGTTATATAGCATGGTTACGTTTTTAAAAGAAATATTCCTACCCGGAGTAGTAGTTGATCATCTTTGTGAAATAGTTCTACCCGTAGTGGTAGTGGATTATCTATGCGGTGTAGATGGGCCAGAGGTGGTCAAGAGTAAATTTGATGTCGATTGTAATTGATGAAAAGGAAAGTGATTTGGAATGGATGAATATGCATGCTATAGAATATATATTTTGAGATATATATATTATAGGGTGAATATGAATATTTTGAAAGGGAAAGAGATTTGGAATGGATGAATATGCATGCTATATAATATATATTATGAGATATATATACTATATATTGAATATGGATAATATGGAAAGAGGATATAAATGATTATATTCATGCACTTATGAAATGTGTTCCACTTCAATGTTTAATTATTATGTGGTGATTTTGATAACGATTGAGTATGAATGAATGATATGTTGTATGGATTTGTATGAGTTTCCCAAGTGAGGTATGATGAATATACTAATTGGATATATGAACCTTCGGTGGTATAATGTGTTGATTGGTATATGTTTAATATGATTGATGTTAGACATTGGATAGGTTTAATACTTTAATGTTATTACTCCATGTAATTCCATGCTACGATCGCCGTAGTTGGTTCTTACTCCCTCTATCTCTTCTTGTATGTGTTGTATATTTGAGTTCAGGTTGTGGCTGTAACGCAATGGATGCTCATGGAGAAAAGTACAAGTAGAGTGTTTACTTTATGTATTCAATACAGTATATGGTTTATGTATGTAATATGAGATTGATTAAGGATTGTAATCGAAGTATTTTTGAGAAAGGATAATCGTATAAATTATGTAATTAAATGGAAGTGTAATGACATGTTTTTAATGAAGTGAACGATTGATTATTTCCTCACCTAAAAGATGTTTTGAACTTATATATATATTCAATCAGGTTTTCTAAATCGTTTGGGTAATGTCTTTAAAAAGTAATCATTTCACTTTCATGAGTAAAGTTAAAAGAAATTTTTGAGTTATGAAAATCGGGTCCTTACATTCTCCCAGGATTTTCATTGTATTCTCGCTTGAGCGAGAGAGACGTTGCCCATGTGAGGGGGAGTTGAACAACCTGGACAATTCTCGCTTGAGCGAGAGCATCAGTGTTTGAAATTTAAAAAGTCGAGGACTTCTCGCCCAAGCGAGCCCCCGTCGCTTGAGCAAGAGTCCAAAACCCTGAACCCTAAAATAGAACCCCCAAATGAAAATGGGATATTTTTGGGCGAAAGAAAAGAAGAGGAGAAGCGTTTTTCTAACCCAGCTCGTGTAAAAGTGAAAGAAAGGCTTGAGAAGAGGTAAACCTCATGATTCTAACACTCACCCTTGTGTGAAACCCCTTATTGTGTTTTTGGATCTCTTCTCTTGATGTGAAAAACCTCATAACCCTTCCTTTTTGGGGTGTGGTTCATTTCTCCTTAGTTTTCTCTTGAAACTCGTGGTTTAGAGTTTATTTGCGATTATAGTGTTGACAAGATGTTGATTTCTTGAAACTAATGGTTAAAATGAAATAGTTGTGAATGTGGGTAAAAGGTGAGGTTAGATATGGAGTTTGTGGGTTTATGTGTGTTTCTTGAAAATGGAAATGCCCTTTATTTGAATGTTTGGAACTTAGAGTGGCTAGTGATGTCGAACCATTGAAGTATGAGTTAATTCCAATTATGAATAACAAATATGTATGAATTTGTTTATTGGTATGATGTGAAATAGATTATTGATTTTGTTGTTGTGTTATATGGATGAGGAAAGATCCTAAGTTTGGGAGAGACAAAAGAGGATCAAACAAAGTTGCCGAACAAAAGCACAAGCTCATACTCAGGTAAGGGATAAGCATGATGATTATTATTAACGAAATATAATGAGGTACTTTCATTGTGGTGAATTATGGTGAACGATTTATTGGAAATATGTGGCATTTTATAGCCTAACGACAATGACTGACTTGCCCTATGTGGTATTGAATAACCTAACGGCGATGACTAACTTGCCGTATGTGGTATTGTATAGCCTATGTGGCAATGACTGACTTGCTCTATGTGGCATTGTATAGCCTAACGACAATGACTGACTTGCCCTTTGTGGTATTGTATAGTCTAACGACAAAGATTGACTTGCACTATGTGGTATTGTATAGCCTAACGGCAATGACTGACTTGCCCTATGTGGTATGTAAGGACCCGAAATATACCCTAAAATTTTTCGTCCTTTTATTTTCTTAACATACATATACTACTAACTAATTTTCCTTAAATTACCCCAAGAATTTTCTTCCTCATTGTAATCATAATTCACGCTTCTTATTAGCGAGTATTCTACCCAAGCTTTTTGGGGTTCGAAACCCATAAACATCATATATTAATTAAAGAGGGAACTCCGTCCCCACATGTTCGTCAATAATATATCAAAATCCTACGGAACGGGATTACAGATTAAATGGTTTATGTTAGAGGTACAATTACATGCATAACACAAAGCGACACATGAACATCCCTATGATAAAATAGAAAAGGAACTAAACTACGCCATCTTCTAAGTCTGCTAATTCTTAGCTTGACCTGTACACCGGTTATCACGAAATACAACATCAAGAAAACATAAGGGAGTAAGACATCAAGTTATATAATCAGTAAATATATAAATCGGAATAGGATAATTATAATGCAAACATATACATATCTATATGGTTCTGTCAGTAACATAATTCAACCGTTAAGGTACACTAAACTATCATTCTACCAATTATCAACCACATTTAATAGTAATTATCCATTACCACATAGGGTAAGTCAACGCCACGAAGGCTAATCAATACTACATAGGGCAAGTCAACACCACGAAGGCTAACCAATACCACATAGGGCAAGTCAACGCCACGAAGGCTATTCAATACTACATAGGGCAAGTCAACGCCACGAAGGCTAATCAATACCACATAGGGCAAGTCAACGCCACGAAGGCTATTCAATACCACATAGGGCAAGTCAACGCCACGAAGGCTAATCAATACCACGAAGGCTAATCAATACCACATAGGGCAAGTCAACGCCACGAAGGCTATTCAATACCACATAGGGAAAGTCAACGCCACGAAGGCTATTCAATACCACATACCAAATAATAACCAGTTTACTCCATTATCATAACAATAATGGCAATACATTTACCTTTTCCATCAAATCATTAACTATGGAAACACGTCTCCCTTACCTTGGCGTGTGTTGTCGTTTGACGGCTTGTTTGAATCTACTCCGCTTCCTCCAACCTTAGGGTCTTTACCCATCCACACACACACACAAAACACAATCAATAATATATTCGTAACATCACATTATAACTCATTTTACATGTTTCTACCACAAATTAATTCATACTCCGATAACTCTCGAAACTATCTCTATTGAGACTCCCATCTGCATTCATAAACATTTAATCCCTCATTCCACATCATCAATCATAAACCACAACCCAACTTACCATTTTCCAACCAATTTTCTTCACCATTTCGTTTCTAGGTTTTGGGGTTTCTTAATATCAATATTTTTCAACTACCATCTCCAAATAGACACTCTATACTATGAGTTTTCGAGAAAGAAGTTAACTAAAACGAACTATTACACCAATGGAGAGAGTTAGGTCGTTTTCCAACTCAAAGAGAAGAGACCCCAATAATCTTAATGAGTTTCTAAGTAAGGAGAAGTGTTAAAATCAAGAGGTTTACCTCTTCTCTAGCTTCACGTAGCCTTTATGCGAGATCTAGCCAAGAAAATCGCTTCCTCTTCTCCTTTCTCTCAAAACCCCCTCCCATTTTCGTGTTTGGGGCTCTATTTTAGGTTTCAGGATTTTAGATTCTCGCCCAAGCGAGAATAGGTCACCCAGGCGAGAGATCCCGCCTTTTTACATTTTCAAACACTGACGCTCTCTCTCAAGCGAGAATCCCACAGTGTCAACACACTCCCTCTCGCCCAGGCGAGCCACATCTCGCCCAAGCGAGGCTCCTAGATAAAATTCTGGGAGAAATACTGATGCTCTCGCCCAAGCGAGAATTTCTCGCTCAAGCGAGAATCAGTCAGTAGCTCTCAGACTGACTGAGTTTCACCATGTTCCAATTATCAAACTTTTAGGGGGTTACAATCCTCCCCCTCTTAGATGAATTTTCGTCCCTGAAAATCAAACATACCTTTATTCGAACAAATGCGAGTAGTCCTCCACCATGTCACGTTCCACCTCCCAAGTTGCATCCCCTTCATCGACTTGGCTCCATAATACTTTCACCAAGGGAATTTCCTTTCCCCTCAGTTTCTTAATACTCTTGTCCATGATCCTCACAAGCAAAGTTCTAAAAGTCAGATTATCTTCAGCTCTATTTGATCCGACTCAACTACATGAGATGGATCTCCAACATATTTCCTCAGTTGAGACACATGAAACACGTTGTGGAGATTTGACAACACAGGGGGTAAGGCAATCCGATAGGCGACCGGTCCAATCCGCTCCAATATTTGATATGGTCCAATGAACCTTGGGGTAAGCTTACGGGACATCAACACCCTCCCTATTCCAGTAGTTGGGACTACTCTCATGAACACGTGATCCCCTTCATTGAACTCGAGTGGTTTCCGCCTCTGGTCATAATAACTCTTTTGCCGACTTTGTGCTACCTTCATGTTCTCCCTCACCCTCTTTATCTTTTCAGTTGTCTCCCGAACCAGTTCGGGTCCCAATACCAAGTTTTCTCCCTTCTCAAACCAACTCATCGGAGTTCTGCACTTCCTCCCATACAAGGCCTCATAGGGTGTCATCCTTATACTTGAATGGAAACTATTGTTGTACGTGAATTCGATCAAAGGTAGCATGTCATCCCAACTCCCCGGTTGTTCTAGAACACAGGCTCTCAGAAGGTCTTCCAACGATTTTATGGTCCTTTCTAATTGCCCGTCCGTTTGTGGATGATAGGCGGAGCTCATTTTCAACGTAGTCCCCAAAGAGGATTGCAAACTAGTCCAAAATTTCGAAGTGAAACGAGGATCTCTATCCGATACAATGCTTTCGGGTATACCATGTAGCCGAACTACCTCCCGGATATACAATTATGCCAGTCGTTCCATAGAATACCTCATATTCATCGGTAAGAAGTGAGCGGACTTAGTTAGTCGATCCACTATTACCCATATTGAGTCATACCCCTTCTGAGTTCTTGGAAAACCCGACACAAAGTCCATTGAAATACTATCCCACTTCCATACAGGAATTTCTAGAGATTGTAACTCTCCCGCTGGCCGTTGATGTTCAATCTTGGCTTTCTGGCAGACGAGACAACTCGAGACATACATAGCCACATCTCTTTTTAACCCATACCACCAAAACAGCTTTTTCAGATCTTGGTACATCTTCGTAGTTCCCGGGTGAAAATTCATTTTACTCTTGTGCGACTCCTCCTGAATACTCTTTCTCAATTCCGCGTCCTGAGGCACACACACCCTTCCTTTATATCTCAACATCCCACTAGAATCGGATTCAAAATCTGTCTCCTTCCCACGAGTCATTAAGTCGCGCTTGGCTCCCAACTCAAGATCGTCAATTGGAACCTCCTAATCTGGTCAAACAACTCGTTAGTCACCTTGAGCATTCCCAAAATTGTACTATGAGGTTTCAATTGAACAGCTAAATTCATATCTCGGAACTCCTCAATTAATTTCTCCTCGCGGATCATCAGGGAGGACACATGTAATGATTTTCGACTCAAAGCATCAGCCACCACATTGGCTTTCCCAGGGTGATATTGTAAGTTAAAATCATAGTCC